TTAAAATACTTATATACTGAATATGTACTCCAATAAAAGTGAGGAACATTAAAGTATTTTATCTTTTAAGTTTATTTTTAAAGATTTTTTTAAAGCTCTAAATATGTTATTTAAAACATTAAATATGTGAATGTGAGTGCAGGTGCTCTCAGAGTCCAGAAGAAGGTATTGGATTCCCTGGAGCTGCAATTTATAGGCAGTTCTGAGCCACCTGACATGGGTGTTGGGCACCAAGTCCAAGTCCTCTGAAAGAGCAATATACACTCTTAACTGTTGAGCTATCTCTCCAGCCCCTTTATCTTCTTTTTTCTTGGTGGTTGTGCTGGGGATCAAGCTGAGGGTTTTGCGTGCTAGCACATGCTTTAGCACATGCTCTGCCACTCATCTATAGCTTCAGCCCACAGTATTTAATTATCAATACAGTTAAGGCACAGTCTTTCTGTTTTGATACATTTTCGGTTTCATTTTACCCATTTTAAATCTTCCAGAATTAAAATGACATGTTCAAATCATTTTCTTCCTTCTGCTGTTATATTTGAAATAATGTATACATTGAGAATACTTGTAGATTGAAGAAATGGACCTTTATGTAATAGAGATTCATACTGCCCTCGGTATCCCTGGCTATTAGACCACCTAACTATACTGCTAGAAATAAAACGAGAGGTAGCCAAAGAGAAGTCACTTACTCCTTCTGTCACTGCTCTGATGGCATTCAAGGGAAAACAGCTGCTGGAGAGACAGGAGGATGCAGCTACAGAGCAAGGCCACCTTGTTTGTTCTTGGCTACATATTTCCATCCTTGAGTCAGTCTCACAGCAATATTTCCAATATTGTATTTCCATTGGGCTAAGTCTGTAGCATTGACGATCCAGTGGAAAAGATAGAATTTGGGATTTTTTTTTTTTTTTAAGAAAATTACATGCGTAAATGTGTTTTAGAACTTCTGTTAAAACCTGCAAAGCTTCTACGAAAATGGTTCTCAAATATTAGCATGTATGTTTGCATGTTAGACTCACCCAGAAAGCTTAAAAACACATTAGTTGGGACTGAGGCCCTCTCCAAAAGATGATAGTGTTATTCTGAAGACAGTCAAAGCATTTAGCTTCCAACTGTCCTAAACAAAGTTACACGCACGCATGCATGCACGCACATACGCACATATTATTTGTTGGTTACTGTTTTTTAAATTTTTTATGTATATGAGTGTTTTGCTTCTATGTATATAAATGCACCTATAGGTGCACCGGTGCATGCAATACCATAGAGGCCAGAAGAGTCCCCTGGAACTGGAGTTACAGACAGTTGTTAGCCACCACAATGGGTGCTGGGAACCAAACCCAGGTCCTCTACAAGACAAGCCAGTGCTTTTAACTGCTGAGCCATCTCTCCAGCTACTGTTTTTGTTTGTTTTTTGAGATGGTCTTACTGTGTAACCAATGCTGGTCCCAACTTATGATCCTTAGTTTCCTGAATGCTAGAGATTACAGACATGTGCCACCGAAACCAGAAAGATTAAAAACTTCTTTATGGAAGTGGAGCGTGTGGGAGGTAGTGGTGCACACATTTAATCCCAGCACTCAGGAGGCAGAGGGTGATGGATTTCTGTAATGTTGACGACCAGTTTTGTTGATATACCAAGTTCTAGGCCAGGTGGGGGACTACAGAAAGACTCTGTTTCCAAAAAAAAAAAGTCTTATTTATGTGTGAAAAAGTGTATTACACTTCAACTAAAATTTATTTTAGAATATAACCAAGTATGTTTTTGGAATGTAGGTATACAATGATGCACATATCCTGGAGAAGTTGCTCAAAGATAAAAGGAAAGAGCTAGGTCCACTACCTGATGATGACGACATGGCTTCTCCCAAACTGAAGCTGAGTAAGTCTGCCTCACTTTGCTCTTCAGTTTAGTCTGTCAAGGAGGGATTGCTCATTTCTTGGGATGAGTATGTTTGTATTCACTAGCACTCTGCCATGGAGTTTCTTTTCTCTTCCCACACATTCTTTCACCGTGTTTTAAGTAAACAAAAGTATGGGACTGTATTAGTTTTCTTATCGATAATGACCACATACCTGACAAACAATTTAAGGCTTCAAAAGTTTTGGTCTGTGATCAGCTATAGTGAAATAGAACATCATGTCAGAAGTGCATGGAGTTGCAAATTTGCTCACCTTATGGTGGCCCGGAAGCAGAGTAGAAAGAGATAGAGGCTATGGACTAGATTCTTTTCAGAGGCATTCCACCAATGACCTACCTCCTCCAGCCAGGCCCACTTCCCAATACTGCCATCAAATTAGGAATCTGTTAATCTATTGAGGAAACCAGAGGCCTCCTAGTCAGGACTTCTCAATGATTGTATCTACTAGCTGAGTTCCAAGTCTTCAATACATGAGCCTTTCAAGGCAGTTTATATCCAAATCATAGTAAAAGGGACTACAATATAACATCAAAGATATTCCTTTATGGAATGCAATAGTTATTTTATAACCATTAAATAGTAAGAATATATAGTCTATATGTGATGATGGAAAGACAATTATGGCAGGTTTTTATTTGTTTGTTTGATATTTCATTGAACTAAAAATGAATCCCAACATCTCTACTGGACAGAATTTGGGAGGTTGGAAATGTACTACTCAGTGACCATTTGAGTACCCTATGTGGATGGTAGTTTTATTGAAAGTTGTAAAAGAAAAGAAGACAGCAAAAGTAATTCATCCTATTGAGCTAAAGAAGATATTTTTGCCTTATTTAATATATATAAATAAAATAAATACCAAGCAAATAATAATGATGTGGTCAATTATTCTTTAGATAGAGGTATGTTTACTGAAAAGGGCAAAGACAAGCATCTTTTTTTAAATATGAAATACCTGTAAGCTTAATTTCACCATTTCCCTGTGAACTATTTACTGCTGAGTGATGATACTTTGTCATTAAGGCATTCATCTTTTTATGGAATATAAAAGTGTACATAAAGCCAGACAGAAAGGCACATGCCTGTAATCTCAGCCCTTGGGATTGAGGCAGGGGATCAGAAGTTCAAGGCCAGCCTCTGCTACATAGTGAGTTTGAAGTTAGCCTGGGCTACATGAGAGTCTTGTCTACAATCAGTCAGTCAATCTGGGTTATCCTGTTAGTGAGTTGGTCATTGTTTCTGGATTTTCCATGAATGTAACTAGAAAAAGTGGGTTTATATTTAGAGATAAAATATTATAAGCTCAATTGATACTTTGTGTGTGCATGTTTTACCTGCATGTATGTAAGTGTACCACATGCATGCAGTGCCTACATAGACAAGTAGAGAGTGTTGAATACCCTGGAAATAGAGTGCGTAGACATTTGTAAGCTGCCATGTGGATGCAGAAAACCAAACCTGGGTCCTCTGCAAGAGAACATCTTTTTAGCCCCTTAATTAAACTTTGAACTGATAGACAGTTTCAAATATTTAATCAATATCCTCTATTTCTCCATCTTTATCTTTTTCCTATACTAAAAATCTCTGTTCTCTGGCCAGACATGGTGGTGCATGCCTTTAATCCTAGCAAAGGCAGGTGGATCTCTGAGTTTGAGGCCAGTTTGGTGTACATAGCAAGTTCCAGGCCAGCTAGGGCTACAGGGAGACCCTGTCTCAAAAAAGACAAAACAATAAACAAAACCTCAGTTCTCAGGAATATCAGAGGTGACAGCAGAATGTCACATGTGTAGTCATTTGTTTTACCTCATTTACCTCAACATAACAGTACTTACTCTCTAAAAAAATATGATTGTGAACCGGTATGTTGTTGTACACCTATAATCGCAGCACTTAGGAGCTGAGGCAGGAGGATAAAGAGTTCAAGGTCAGCCTGTGCTATATATAAAGACCTAGTCTTTAAAAAGTTTAAAAAAGTTTGTTCACACACACACACGGCAGCTAACAACTGTCTGTAACTCCAGTTCCAGGGGATCCGACAGCCTCTTCTGTCTTCCATGGGCATTGCACGACACAGGTGCACTTCGTACATGCAGGCAGTACACGCATACACATAAAATAAAAATAATAAAATATTTTTTAAAAAGTTTTTTTAATTGCATTAGATTATTTTTGTCTATAAATTGTATCTCACTAAAGACATACTAATTAATGTGTTTTACAACTGCCAGCTATATAAAAAGTTAGCCTTAGCTTCATCTTATCCACCTAATAGTATATCTCTTTCTTCAGGCAGGAAGAGTGGTGTTTCTCCTAAGAAATCAAAGTATATGACTCCAATGCAGCAGAAACTAAATGAAGTATATGAAGCTGTAAAGAACTACACTGATAAGAGGGGTCGCCGCCTCAGTGCTATATTTCTAAGGCTTCCCTCTAGATCAGAGCTGCCAGACTACTATCTGACCATTAAAAAGCCCATGGACATGGAAAAAATTCGAAGTCATATGATGGCAAACAAGTACCAAGATATAGACTCTATGGTTGAGGACTTCGTCATGATGTTTAACAATGCCTGTACATACAATGAACCAGAATCTTTGATCTACAAAGATGCCCTTGTCCTACATAAAGTCCTTCTTGAGACTCGGAGAGACCTGGAGGGAGATGAAGATTCTCATGTTCCAAATGTGACCTTGCTGATTCAAGAACTTATCCATAATCTTTTTGTGTCGGTCATGAGTCATCAAGATGATGAAGGGAGATGCTACAGTGATTCCTTAGCAGAAATTCCTGCTGTGGATCCCAACTTTCCCAACAAACCTCCCCTTACATTTGACATTATTAGGAAGAATGTTGAAAACAATCGCTATCGGCGGCTTGATTTATTTCAAGAACATATGTTTGAAGTGCTGGAAAGGGCAAGAAGGATGAATCGGTATGTTTTCAAAGCCATTAATTTATGAGAACATGTGATGTTTAATGCAAAACAAAGGATATTTCGGCTTAGGTACGTGGCTGTAGTCGGTAGCATGCTATCCTGAATTCTAGGTAGCCAAAACATATTTTTTCCCCTTTAGAATTTTGAGGCACACAACTTCTAAAGAACAGATATATTCTCTGAAGTAGAGAACACTACTGAGTTCTCAAGATTAGGGTCAGTGAGAGGAAGACAGGATTGAAGATCTTGTGTAAAGCATGAACCTAAAATATAACATTTCACAGAACATGTTTCTTTTTTTAAAATTTTCACTCTATGTTTGAGTGTTATGCCTGCATGTATGTAAGTACACCCATGCCATGCAGTGCCTGTGGAGGATAGAAAACGGTGTCAAATCCCCTGGACCTGAAGTTAAAGACAGTTGTTAGCTGCCATGCCTGTTGTAGGATTCAAACCCAGGTCCTCTGCAAGAACAGCCAGTGCTCTTAACTGCTGAGCCATCTCTCCAGCCCCCAGAATATGTTTCTTAAAGAATAGATAAGAGATAATATTTCAAGTAGGAATTTGAAATGGGATTTTTCTTTGAAAGTTTGACTTTAGTCCAAGAATGTATTAAATGAATTAAAGAATTCTAAGTTATTCTTTGAGATTAGAGTTATTTAAATTCAGTTACTATTTCAAGTACTTAGCAGGACTTTTTGTTTTTAATCTTATTTCTCAATTTAAGGCCTAGTATAGGACTTTAAGTGTTCTAAAAAAAAAAATAATCAAATTGAGATATCCTAAAGTTTCTTCTAATTTTGGTTAGAGGTGTATCTTTGCCACGTATCAGTAGCATTTGCAATGTGACTTCTGTGTACTTTTAGAGGCACTTGGTAAAATTTAAGTTAAAGATAATAAACCCAGCCCAGTGTGGTGATACACGTCTTTAATCCCAGCACTCAAGAAGGGCAGAGGCAAGCAGATAAGAGATCTAGGTCACCAGGGGCTACAGAGAGATCCTTCTCAAAAAAACCAGCAAAACAAAGCAAAGATAATAAATCCTACTTTCCTGGAGCTTATAGCATTACAGGTCTGAGAGCATCATGGAAGATGGATAGTATTCACATGAATAGAGGGGAAGATATTTCAGGCATGATGAATGATATGAACAAAAGCAGAGCGTTAGGAAGTTAATATAGTATGTTCCAGAGTAGGGGAGGTAGAGTTGAATAACATATTTAGGAATTGGTTCTTTGTTTGATGGTAGGTATAGAAATAAAGAGGAACATGAGGGACATCTTGCAGTCAAATTCTGTAGGAGTTTTCGTTCAACTAATTTTTATTGGATGACCACTAGTTAATAAGCATGTTCTAGAGGCATGGAATATTGTGTATGGAACTTAGATGTCTCTTTTTCTTAGTTTATGGAGTCCTTAAATCTAAAGATACCCCTGTGTTTCAAACCTATTACATCATGGCGTTAGTCTGTGAGTCTTCTAAAGAGCATATGTCTCTTAGGTTATTGGGAACTTTGTATGTATAGTAGGAATTAAATAAAATTCTGTCTCTAGGAAATCAGATCTTCCCATTCTGCTATTATTGCCATGATGGGCTTTTGCTTTTGAGGGCTGGAAGATACAGCCAAAGGCACATTTATGTGAAACAATATGCACATAGTTTCTCTAACACCCTGAACTCTGCTGAAAAACAACAGAAGCCATTTTTATCTTTTGGATAGTATTGTGACTTCTTGTAGTATTTAATAAGAAGTACTAATGAATGCTCAGTGGGTAAAACACTTGCCATGCAAGCATGTGAACCTGCATTTAGAGCCCCAACGCCCACATAAAAAACCAGGCATCCCGGGGGGTGAAGGTAACAGAGGGTGGACAACAGAAGTGTCCTTGGGGCTTGCTGGCCACCCAGCAAGTTGGTGAGTTCTAGGTTCAATGAGAGACCCTATCTCAAAAACTAAGGTGGAGAGCAATAGAGGAAGTCACCCATTGTTGACCTCTGGCCTCTACACACATGCAGACACACATGAACATATACACATCCATACAGCCACATGCACACCAAAAATGAATTAATAGTAAGTAATTAGTAAGAATTGCTAAACCAGGAGTAATGGCAAGGTAATCCCAACACTTGTAGGCTGAGGCAGATGGATCCTGAGTTTCAGGCCAGCCTGGGCTGCATACACAACCCTGTCTCAAAGAATTGATTGAAATGCATCTGTTTGGTGAATGATAACCATACTTTTAGCTACTGTATTGCCCTTAGTGATTACAGGCGTTCCAGATGTGTAAGTATTCATTAGTAAATTAATTCATATGAAATGAACATGCTGACTTCCAGAGTTTTCATGCTTCATCTCCACTTTACCCTACTCTACCTACCAGTGCTACTCTGAATTACCTAGGACCTTCACACACTGTAATGGAAGGACTGTGAGCAGTGACTAACAGGAAAGTTGATGTAGGTGGCAGTAATTTATTCACAGCAGCATTCAGAAACAGCACAGTGCTGATTTATGCCAGCTGACCAGCAAGTGGATTTCCTCATATGCTGGCAGCTTTCCTGAAAAGCACTGTGACTTCCTTGCAAGAAAAAGAATCTATAGAATATCTGGCTTGTATGAAAAGGTTACCAAGCAATTGAGATAAATCAGAGTTAGTTGTTTTTCCATCTGGAGTTTTTGTTCTTGCACAGTGAACACCTGTGCAACAAATAGGTTGCACAAATTAGGTTAACAAATTTTTCATAATACTTTTTAAAAAAAATTTATGTGTGGCAGTCTGTTATTGCCTGCACGTATGTAAGTGCCTGCGGTCAGAAGAGGGCATTGGATTGCCCTGGAACTGGAGTTACAGATGGTGGCTAGCTGTCATGTGAGTGCTGGGAGTCGAACTCACTGCTCTTCACTGCTGAGTCATCTCTCCAGCCCCCATGATACTTTTTGAATAAACAAAATAAAAAAGGATATATGGGGTATTTAGTGATTTGTACAAACTTCATTGACTAAATCCAATGGCCTGATGAAACTATAAATATGCCTTTTTAGTGTAATAAGGGTTTACCAAATGTGCATTTTTTCACTTATAAATTTTACACTGAGTATAAGCTATTCTTTCTTTTTTTTTAATTTTATTTATTATTTTTATTATGTGTATGCGTGTATTGCCTGCATGTAGATAAGTGCACCCGTGTCGTGCAGTGCCCGTGGAGGTCAAAAGAGACTGTCAGATCCCCTGGGACTAGAGTTTTGGACCATTGTTGTTAGCTGCCATGTGGGTGCTGGGATTCGAACCTGGGTCTTCTGCAAGAACAACCAGTGTTCTTAACCGCTGAGCCATCTCTCCAGCCCTGAGTGTAAGCTATTCTAAAATAAATTTAATTTTAAGAAAACAAGCTTTAGTTATCTCTGTTCAGGAAATGAAATTTCACAATAGTGTCTTAAGGGTTGCTTTCCTTGGTAAATTTTATTTTTATTGCTTTCCAATAAGTCTTAGCATCTCTAGAACTTCAGAACATGCATATGAAACTTCACCAGAATACCTATTTAGGTTACTGTGGTTAATTGTTTGCCAGTTCCCTTTACTGATGGGGAGAGGCATCTGGAGGCTCTCTTAAGTCCGATATGCTAATAGCATGTGTCACTAGACAGCTGATTGACCTTGTTTTGCCTGCCATACTTTTCTAACTGGAATGTGTGATTAACTGTTAATATATTTGCCACCACATATGGTGACTCATGCCTGTAATTCTAGTACTTGGGAAGTGGAAGCAAGATCACGTAAGTTCAAAACCAGTCTAGGCTACCTACCAAGTTCCAGGCCAGCCTGTGTGATAAAATGAGACAGCCTCAGTAAAGAAACTAATATTCACATGAACTCTTGGGCCTTTCACTGTTACTACAAGGGATGATCTTCATGCCTTTATATGTTAGGTTCAATTCTTCAGTGAGTCCTACCAGCCAAGGTAGCAGTGATAAAGGAACAAAAGAAAAAAAGTATTTACAGCCTAAATACCTGTCTGTAGGTAAGAAAATGTAAAATGTTGGGACTGGAGAGATGGCTCAGCAGTTAAGAACACTGACCGTTTTTGCAGAAGATCCAGATTCAAATCCCAGTGCCCACATGGCAGCTAACAACTGTCCGTAACTCCAGTTCCAGGGGATCCAACAGCCTCTTCTGTCCTCCATGTGTATTGCACAACACGAGTGCACTTACCTACATGCAGGCAATACACGCATACACATAAAAAAATAATAATAAAAAAGAAAACGTAAATGTTATTCCAAAGAGTAGATTCACATTAAGTGTTGGACTTTGCTCCGATGCCATAGTACAGACCTTTATTCTGCCAATGTCTTCTGCCTTGGTTAGTTGATTCATATGCCTTGTATATCTGAGGGAAAATGTGAGACCTTTTCTTTCACATGAGCCTTGAGAAAAAGAAGACTGGCATGAAACATGGTCACATGACACCTCAAGTATTCATTTATTCATTTAGTTTTTTAATTAATTCATTTAATTTTTTGGTCTTTTTGAGACAGGGTCTCTCTATAGCCCCAACTGGCCTGGAACTTGCTATGTAGACCAGGCTGGCCTTGATCTTACAGAGATCTGCCTGTCTCTGCCTCCCAAGTGCTGGAATTAAAAGCATACACCACCGAGGGCTAGAGAGATAGCTCAGCAGTTAAGAGCTCTGGTTGTTCTTGTGGAAGACCCAGGTTCAAATCCCAGCACCCACATGGCAGCTAACAACCGTCCGCAACTCCAGTTCTAGGGGATCTGACAGCCTCTTCTGTCTTCCGCAGGCATTGCACGACACGGGTGTACTTACCTACATGCAGGCAATACACACATACACATAAGATAAAAACAATACTTTTCTTTTTTAAAGGCATACACTACCACACCCACCTCTATTTATTATTTATTTATTTATTTATTTATTTATTTATGGTTTTTTTTTTTTTTTTTGAGACCTGGTCTCCCTGTAGCTCCAGCTGGCCTGGAACTTGCTATGTAGACCAGGCTGGCCTTGAATGCATAGAGATCTGCCTACCTCTGCCTCCCAAGTGCTGGGATTATTTCTTTTTTTATTTTCTGTGTATCATATGAGTGTTCTGACTGAATGTATATATGTGCTCCAGAAGAGGGTGTCCAGGTTGTAAGCCACCATGTAGATTCTGGGAACCAAACTCTAGTCCTATGAAAGAGCAGCAATTGCTCTTCCACTGAGCCATCTCCAGCCCTCATTCATTGTCTTTTTAAGACAGGATCTCATGAATTCCAAGCTTGATTTGAACTCACTGTATAAATATGAATGACCTTGAACTCCTCATCCTCCTCTACCTCCCAAGTGGTGGGATCACAGACGTGCACCACTGTGCAACAGCTCAGAAACTTCGTTTTAGCAAGCCTTGTGAGGACACCCTTCTAACTGTGCCAAGTACTATTATAGCAGTTAACATAATAAAGAAGTATTTGATTATTAGAAGACTTTAGTATATATCTGAGGTGTTTAAAAGAAACAGTTCATGTGTCAGTAGATATTCTCAATACCATTATAGGACAGATTCCGAAATATATGAGGATGCGGTAGAACTTCAGCAGTTTTTTATTAAAATTCGTGATGAACTCTGCAAAAATGGAGAGATCCTTCTTTCTCCAGCACTCAGCTATACCACAAAGCATTTGCATAATGACGTGGAAAAAGAAAAAAAGGAAAAATTGCCTAAAGAAATAGAGGAAGATAAACTAAAACGAGAAGAAGAAAAAAGAGGTTGGTTCCTTTTCATTTATTAAATATGGAGAAATATTATGCTCTCTTCTAGCTGGTGTCATAGCTTTGTAGAAGAGTTTGTATGAATGAAGATTCAGATTGTTGACTGTTTCACATGAGACATGATAAGATTGTTTTATCATCTGTTTTGTTGTCACTGGATAAAACTGAAAGTTAACTCTGACATAGCTAGTATTTCAGGAACAGACAGTTCATTCATTAGTGTGAGAGTCTAATGCCTTTTTATCCTATTGTTGGATGTATACTTGAGAGTCTCAGCTGGAGCTAGAGTGCTTTCTCATCAGTAAATACACCAACTGATGCCACATCTTTCAACAGCATGACGTTCCTCTGAGATACTGTAGGAGGCCAGCAGACCAGTAGATGAGGTTTTGGTTGAGTCACATTCCTAGGAGAAAAGTTTTTTTAATCATGTCAACCTAAAAGTGGTATTTTGAGTCATTTGCCAACATTTACAAATATTTTGATAATGTTTGATAATGGGAAATTGTTACTACAAATACTATCTTTTTTTCTTTTCTGTCTTTTATTGTGATGGGTGGATCTCACCATATACTAGCCCAAGCTGGCCTCAAGCTTGCAGTGATCTTCCTGGCCTCTCTGCCTTCCAAGTGCTGGGATTACACACTTGACAGAATGTGATCATTTTTAGCAACGTTTCAGTTCACATGGATACCTAGAAATTTTACTTTATATACAAGTTCTGTTACTCTGTAGCTTCAAACCTTCAGAGATTATGGGAAACAAAATTGGCTTGAAGCAAATTCTAGCAAGTGATGGAGCATGGGAGTGAGGGGAGTCATTTTGCCAACATATGGCTAAATGCGAGAAACAGCCAACTAAAAATGATTGATTTGGAATTGAATAAACTGAAGCCTTCCTGGCTTCACATTCCTGACCAGTTGGCACACTACATGTATAAGGAAGATACAGGAACCTGTTGAAAAGTAAAATCCAAAAAGGAAGTTGACTGCAACTTTGAGTACCCCATCCTGTATACAACAGGAGGTCGTTCTAGGGCACAGGCCTGTGGATGCAGCTGTGCCCAAGTCATGGGCTGACTCCTAACTTTGCAGACATGGGAGCAGTATCAAATCTCCTGGTATGTCTGTAGTAGTAACCTCAGTGGAGAGAAGAAAGAGGGAGAAAAAATAATGGCTAAGGACTTCTCAAATTTTCACTAGATTCAAAGACACAAATAAGCAAAAAGGAAAAAAAGAAGAAAAGATATACCGTGCAGACTGTGACCATAGCAGCTTGAAATAGCTGTGTTAGTATCAAACAAAGTGGTTTTGAGAAAGGAAATAATACAACAAAGACATTTCATAATGATAATAGAATCAACATTATTAGAAACATAAAATATTCACAAATATATATTCTAACAGTATAGCCCAAAAATATGTGAAAAGTGACAGAGTTGAAAAGACAGTTCAACAATTATATTTCGTTATTTTTTTCCTAGTAATTAATAGAATGAAAAAAAAACCAAAAATCAGTATGTACACAGAATAGTGCTGCATAGCACTGTGAACTAGCTTGGCCTTGCATATCAAACATAACAACCAAATACCATTATTTGTAGTAGCCAGAGGGCAGAACAGCCCAAGCATCCAGATGTGCCAATAAAGAAATATTAATGGGTCAGTTCTATGGAATGTGTTTAGCCATAAAAGAAAATGAAACGCACATGCTACATGAGTGAATCTTGAAAACATACCACATGAAATATATTAGATGGAAAAAGACATACAGTGTTTGCTTGCACATGCTTGAAATTTCTAGAATAGGCAAATTCATAGAAAAAGTAGATAGAAGTTACTAGGTACAAGGAGGAGGTGTGGAATATTTACTGTTTACTGATTACAAATTTTTTATTTTGGGTAATAAAAAAGTTACAGCAATAGTAGTTGTGAATGTAAAACACTGAATATCTTTTGGGGATTTTTTGGTCTTTAGGGGGCGGGATCTCCCTGTAGCCTCAGCTGGCCTGCAACTCACTGTGTAGACCAGGCTGGTCTTGAACTCATAGAGATCTGCCTGTCTCTGCCATCCTAGTGCTGGGAATAGCACTGAATATCTTTAATTCTACTAGATTTATTCTTAAAAGTGGTCAAAATGGCAAATTTTGTGTTACATATTTTACCACAATTTTTAAAAAGTAATAATGTACCAAAGCCATTGAATTGTGCACTTTGAAGTAGATGAATTATGTAAAATGTAAACTATATCTCAATAAAAGTATTTTAAAAATATGGCAGAAAAGAAACAGTTGGAGAGAAGTTAGAATTTAGGGTTGATGTGAATGCTGAGTGTAGTGGTGAACACCTGTGCTCCAGCCACTTGGGAGGTAGAGACAGAAGGCCAACCTGAGGTGCATGTATCATCTCAAAAACAGAAAAGGGGGCTGGTAAGATGGCTGAGGAGTGCTGGCTACCCTTCCAGAGGGAACCCAGATTCAGTTCCTCTTACCCACATGGGCGCCTGACAACCATCTGTAACTGCAGGTCCACGGATCCAGCGCACTCTTCAGGCTTCCATGGGCACTGCATGACATAGGTACACTTGGATGCCAGCAAAACACTGATAAACAGAATAAAATAAAGCGAAAAAGAATTTAAAAATGCTCCTAAGAAATAGAATGTCAAAGAAAGATGGAGAGAGAGAGAGAGAGAGAGAGAGAGAGAGAGAGAGAGAGAAAGAAAGAAAGAAAAGAAAAGAAAAGAAAACTAAAAGCAATTGAGGAGGCTCAGAATCCAAATAACTCCAATTACTCCAAGCCCCAGTTGGATTAGTTTTCTGCCATAGTACAAGGATTCCCTTTCCTCTGCTTTCCACAGATGTGTTTCTCATTTCCTTCTGATCTTTCATCTACCAAATCTTCAGTGTTCATTTTTGTACTAAGGTTCTATTCTGGGAAATCTAGGCTTTTGGGGGGTGTTGGGGGCAGGGGTCATGCTTGTCTTCTCATTGCCCTGGTTCCACTTTCATATTTTTGTTCTTTATAAACAACCTTCTAATTGGTGTGAATATCTCATCTAAACAGCCTCAGCTGAAAGGCCCTGAATCTCACCATCTGTATCATCTAAACTGGTTGTATGGATGAGGTTCTGGTGTGATTCTTCATCCTATATGAGTCCTTTCTATCTTGGGACATGTTAAAAAATGCCCTTTGCTCGTGAGTAGGTGACATGCATAGGATAATAGTTACAGATAATGCTGTTCAAGAAGGGATAGAAGAGAGAACTACTGATTCTAGCTACTTTTAAAAATCTGTTGGATAGCCGGGTGTGGTGGCACACGCCTTTAATCCCAGCACTAGGGAGGCAGAGGCAGGTGGATCTCTGTGAGTCCGAGGCCAGCCTGGTTTCCATAGCGAATCCAGGCCACCTAGTGCTACAGGGAGACCCTGTCTCAAAAAGACCAAAAAAAATCTGTTGGATAATGTTTTTCACCAAAATTGGCAAAACTTTGGGGTTTTTATTTTAATGTCATTTTTAGAGAGGGGAGTGGAAAAGCAAAGCCCTTATATCCACATTGAGGGACTTAAGTTGATGTAGACCTTTGGAGATTAACTTGGAATATGCATTTTAAAAGCATTTAATTTATGGGAAATTATCCTTAGGAAGTTAAAGATGTGGACAGGATCTGTTAACCCAAAGTTCTGAGAGAGGCATTGGGGTGAGCTGATGTTGCAGTAGTCAGTGTAGTACAGCAAGACTCAGAGGCAGAAGTTGTTACATGAGATTTATCTCTGCTACATTTTTGTTCATATTTATTCCTTTGTATAGATCTTAATAAAACTTATCAAAGGGGTTGCTTAATACTTTAAAAGAAATTTGGTTACAGTGTGAGATGGCAACATCTGAACTCAAGTGCCTTTGGAAGACATCACCACAGATTAAGTGCTTTTGTCTCTTTTATGCCTGAGACCATGTCAGATCAGTGTGGCAGAATCTAGCAGAGGTGGATCCCTCTGTAAGAAAGGGTGGATCCCTCTGTAAGAAAAAGGTGAAGGTCACGGAGATGAACATGGATGAGATGCCCAAAGAGTTCATATGGATGTTGTATGTGCTAAATGACCTGGCAATATAAGGCAGCCTTCCAGAAAAGAAACAAATACCCTGTTTCAAGACTTCATTGACTGCATATACTACATGGTGGAGAACCAAGGGAGGATGATAAAGCCTTGGGCCAAAATAAAGATTACTATCAAAATCCTCCACAGCAGGACTGCATATGTAGCTCAGTAGTAGCTCACTTACCTAATATGGACAAGGCCCTTGGTTTGATAGCTATACTAGCATGGCCAAAGATGTAAGTTAAAAAATATCCCTAACACATTCAGATAAGATCAACATCAATAAAAGTTTTTAATCTATTAGAGTGTTAAGCCTTCTTCGATTCTTTGTAGAATAAAAAAATGGAGTATGAGTGACTGATTGGTACCTGCCCTAGGCTGAAGTCTCCTCCTAGGCCAGAGCCAGGGTTTATGGCAAGGAATGTATGACTTCAGATGAAGCTTGCCAATTCTCATGAAATCAGCTTAAGCACACAAATACACTCACACAAAATTCCCCTCTTGGAAAGGAACTATTTCTTAGAGATTCCAGGCTCTAGTTTCTGTTTCTTAAGGAACTTGCTGAAAAGCCAGAACTTGAAATTTTCAGAGTGAGTGCTTTATTTGAATATAATCTGTATATAATATTACCAACAAGCTATTTTACTTCTTTAAAAAGAATAATCTGTGCCAGGCATGGTGGAACATGTCTTTAATCCCAGCACTGGGGAGGCAGAGGCAGACGGATCTCTGTGTGTTAAAGGCCAGTCTGGTCTACATAGCAAGTTCCAGGCCAGCTGGGGTTTCAGGGAGACCTTGTCTAAAAAAAAAGACAAAATAATAATAATCTGTAATGTTTGCAAATAGCTTGTATTGGAACCATTAAAAGATTTTATTTAACAAAAATAAGGACTGTGGAATGTACCTTAGTAATAAAGTACTTGCCTAGCATGCATTAAGTAGTATGCCTAAGGCCCTAAGGCCCTAGGTTCAGTCCACAAAGAAATAGACCTTGTCTAATAAAAATTAAAGTCTTATTTAATAGTACTTTACCTTAGAGGAAATGTTTATGATATAATATGTATGTCTGTGTGTATGTATGCATGGCGTATGACTTACATTGAATGATACACATATTCCATATTTCCTTATTTCTAAAATCCAACAATTATAATGTAGCCATGTAATATTAGAAGAACTAATTTCAGGAGTACTAGTATGGAAAAGAAGTACGTCAGATTTTTTCTAGGATCATATGACTTTCCTGCCAGTGCCTTTCTGAGTTACTGAAAGTGACTGAATGTATATTATTAAGGTGATTATTTTTATTCTATAGAATAGTTAAAGTAATATCAGTTTGTTTTCATTTAAAAAGGCAATTTTGCTGAGTGCAGTGGTACATGCCTTTTATCTCAGCACTCGGGAGGCAGAGGCAGGTGGATCTTTATGAGTTCAAGGCCAGCCTGGTCTACATAGCGAATTCCAGGCCAGCCTGGTCTACATAGCGAATTCCAGACCAGCTGGGGCTACAGGGAGACTTTGTCTCAAAAAGACCAAAAAAAAAAATCTAAAAAGGGCAATTTTGAGACTAGCTGCAAGTATGTCCATCTATAGACCCAGCTACTTGGGGAGCTGAGTCAGGGAAATCACTTGAGCCTTCGAGTTCAAGATTTAGGTAGTTTAGACTCATTCCCATCTCAAAAAACAATATGCCACTGAGGCGTGGTGGTGCACATCTTTTAATCTCATCACTCTGGAGCCAGAGGCAAGCAGATAGCTGAGATCAAAGTCTTCATAGTGAGTTCCAGGACAGCTGGGGCTACTGGGAGACCCTGTTCCTCAAAAAACAAAAATTAAAAAAAACAACCAAGGTAGAGAGTGAGAGAGTGATTAACCTCTGGCAGATGGAGACAGAGAGAGAGAGAGAGAGAGAGAGAGAGAGAGAGAATGAATTCTAGCGAGATGTGTGGCTCCTATAATCCCAGCAACTGATGCAGAAGAATCCCTAGTTTGAGGCTAGTTTGGGATACGTAGAGTGACCGTATCTCAAAAAAGGAGAAGAGGGAAAGGAAGGGGAAAGAGAAATCAATTACTGTGCATTGTTTGCGTGCACATCTGACCCACACATTTACTGAGTGTCTTTTTTTTTCAATCCAAGAAGCTGAAAAAAGTGAAGATTCCTCAGGTACAACAGGCCTCTCAGGCTTACATCGCACATATAGCCAGGACTGCAGCTTTAAGAACAGCATGTACCATGTTGGAGATTATGTCTATGTTGAACCTGCAGAAGCCAATCTACAGCCACATATAGTCTGTATTGAGAGACTATGGGAGGATTCAGCTGGTAAGTCTAATTTAAATTGAAGGACAAATTGGTGAAATACGGCTATTTCTACTTTTCCTTGCCCTTCAGGGAAGAAAAGAATTTTTTAAATAATTCATTGAGAATTTCATACAAGGATATATGCATATAAGGTGTTTTGATCAAATCCATGCTCTTCCATCCCCTCCAACTCCTCATCACTTTTTTCTGATAACTTCATGTACTCCTTTTTTTTTTTTAAATGGGGCTTTTTGCTACTGTAACATTCCCCCCTCTGAAGAGGTAGCCCTGAAATCTTTTAAGGATTAGATAAGAGCTCCCAAATACTTGACATTTTTGGCCTTTGGAACGGAGTATGTTGCTAAGAGGTCCAAGGACATTTTGACTTTCAGCCAAGAAGCTGGCTAATTTTCTTTGGGGTCTTTTTACACTAACTGCCTAGCCAATTCCAACTTCCTGTTCTTAACACACATCCTCTGAAGAGGTTACCCAGCTTGCGGATAGGGAATCAGGACGCAGACCGCTCTGGCTTCGGGGAAGAAAATTTTAACTGGTATTTTAAGCCTTCCAGAAATAGTTCTGTTATATCAATAAACGTAATTTCTCTCTGTATTAATAAATATAATTAAGCATCCCACTATATACAAATGTAGGATCTAGTATTATTGGGCTGTGTGTCAGAATTAAGTCAGAAGAAATGTAAAGCCTTAAAGTATAGTGAGATTCATTATTTAACTGATGTTTATTGAAAATACTTTGAGCCAATTTTATGTAGGATGACATAGATTGAGGAAAACGGAACACACATGTTCTTTCTGGCAAAACTACAATGAAGATCACAAAAAAGAAATTATTGTAGAAAGACATGTACCTTGGCTTAGAATTTATGTGAAAAAAAGTATACCTAGGGACTGGAGAGATGGCTCAGTGGTTAAGAGCACTGACTGCTCTGGCAGAGGAACAGGGTTCAGTTCCCAGCACCCACATGACAGTTTACAGGCATCTATAACTTCAGTTCCAGAGGATCTGACGTCCTCCTCTGGCCTCCACAGGCATCACACACATGGTATATTTACATACATGCAGGCAAAACACTGATACACATAAAAATAAAATCTTTTTTTTTTTTTTTTGGTCTTTTTGAAACAGGGTCTCCCTGTAGCCCCAGCTGGCCTGGAACTCATGTACACTAGGCTGACCTTGAACTCACAGAGATCCATCTGTCTTTGCCTCCCAAGTGCTGGGACTACAGGCATGTACCACCGCCCAGCTCTAAATAAATAAAATCTTAAAAAAAAAAAAAAAAAAAAATTCTTCCTAAAAAATTTGCCAGCCAGGCATGGTGGTACATGCCTGTAATCCCAACACTTGGGAGATAGAGGCAGGCAGATCTATGTTATATGGAAGCCAGCCTGGTCTATATAGCAAGTTCCTGGCCAGCTGGAGCTGCAGAGAGATCCTTTGTCCAAAAAAAAAAAAAAATTAAGCTGAGTTTTATGGCATACACTTGGGAGTCCCAACACTCAGGAAGTTGAGGCAGAATATCATAACCTTTAGGCCAGCCTGAGCCACACAACTAGACCTGTCTCAATAAAGAAAAAAAATTTTAAAGGAAAAAAAAAAATATCTTTAAGTTGCGGCGTTAAGAATGAAGCCAAAGGCAGGCAAAAGTGTAATGTAGGCTAGGCTACTCAGTTCTTTAAGATGCTAATCAGGTGAAATGTTTTTGTATTCCTTTGCCTTGTTAAATATATCCTTAAGTAAATCTCTGTCCTTTCCAAAGCACAGAACTCCAGGTATATCACAACCAGAGCAGGTCTTCTAGCCTTCGTTTTTCTGTATTGCATGTCTTCTGATACAAGGGTAAAGCAGTGTTGTCTAGGCTTCCTTGTGCTTCTTTATTTTAAAGTACTATTTATTTGTTCTAAGATAATTAAGAATTATCACCCAAAACACAGTTTTCAAACTATAATGGCTTGGTAGAATGTTCCTAATTTTGCAAAGAATATGTGATTTCTGTTAATGATTCTTTTCTTTCTCTGTTTTTGAGGTGAAAAATGGTTATATGGGTGTTGGTTTTATCGGCCAAATGAAACATTCCACTTGGCTACACGAAAATTTCTAGAAAAAGAAGTTTTTAAGAGTGACTATTACAATAAAGTTCCTGTTAGTAAAATTCTAGGCAAATGCGTAGTCATGTTTGTTAAGGTAAGAAGCTTGTTCATTCCAAAGACATTATTCCCTAAGAATAAAACTTAAAAACACAAAAATCAATACTTAAAAAATTGAGAACTCTGTTTTAAACTCCTTTTTTAGGCTGTGTCTTATATATAAGAAATTAACCTAGATATAATTATGAAAGACCATTTACTGCCTACACTATTTATCTGCGTATATTTATCTTAAATTTTTTTGTTTCCAGGCTAATTTTCAAGGATAATGTTTTCTAAAAGACAGTCATTATTATCAGGGGTGTTTTAGGTAATAAAAGCTTTAATGAACATTAAAGAAATGTTCATTAAATAAATTATTTCTTTATTCAGAAATTAATATATTTTCTAAGGGCAATTGGTAAATGGAATTCATATTTGTAAATAAAGAGTGTGTATTTAATAAATCCATTCTGTAACCAAGAAAATATACCCCAGATCTCTAATCATTTGCCCCTTATTGTCAGAAGGTCTTAACAGTTTAATGTTTGGTTGATTGATTGCATTTGCTTTCTATTTGGGGGTTAATTTAAGAAAATTTACCTGACTACTTGTTATTATCCCCTTCTCACCCCAGGAATACTTTAAATTATGCCCAGAAAACTTTCGAGATGAGGATGTCTTTGTTTGTGAATCACGGTATTCTGCCAAAACCAAATCTTTTAAGAAAATTAAGCTGTGGACAATGCCAATCAGCTCAGTTAGGTTTGTCCCTCGGGATGTGCCCTTGCCTGTGGTTCGAGTGGCCTCTGTATTTGCAAATGCAGATAAAGGGGAGGATGAGAAGAATACAGACAGCTCAGAGGACAATCGAGGGGAAGACAATTTTAACTTGGAAAAGGTATGTAGATAGTCACTATCTGGAAAAGAAATTTTATGCCTTAAAATATCTATTCCAGAAAGTTAATATATCCAAACTCAGAAAAAGATTGATAATACAGAACTTTACGAAGAAGAAGAAACTAAAAGGAAAGAAAAAAATTAATTCGAATTATTAGTATTTAAAAGTAAATCAAGGACTAGTGAAGTGGCCCAATGGGTACAGAGCATTGAGCGTCTGTAGGTGAATTCGTGTTAACTGTTTGAGAGACTGCTGTAATTAAATGGTTGTTTGCCCTATTTGAAAGTAGGAACAAAAGCCCTTCCTAGTTCATTATAAAAAACCAGAGCAGTTATAGTCCACACCCTACAAAACCAAACAGAAAACTGTACTTCAGTCTCATATGTGAATATCAGTGTAAAAATTCCTTGGGGACATGATATTTTTATAACTGAAATCAAGCTAGGTATGATCAAGGAAGAAAGTGTTCCATCTAGGAATGCAAGGATTATTCAAAATCAGAGTTTTCCTGTTTCATTATTGTAATAGTTCTATAGACTTAAGCTTTTGTTATATCTTATCACTTCTAAACAGCCCCATCTGGGAAGCATATTATCATCTTCATTTAATTAAGCACAGAAATTCAGTTAATTTGCTCTATGACACTGTATCTAGTAGGCAGCAGATTCAGTAATTTATTCAAAACCAGAATATGTAGTTTTTATGTCGTAAAACCAGTATTCTTTGCCATGTTGGAATCAAACAAAATAGTAAAAAATGTAAATTGGGGGTTGGAGAGATGACTCAGCAGTTAAGAACACCCCCTGCTCTAGCAGAGGACTCAGGTTTTATTCCCAGCACCCACATGGTGACTGACAGCTGTCTGTAACTCCAGTTCCAGGGGATCCATTGCCCTCTTCTGGCCTCCAAGGGCATTGCATGACACGGGTGCACTTACATTCATGCAGGCAATATATTCATATACATAAAAATAAAATACTTTTTAAAAATGTAAATCTGTCCATTGTTAAGATTAAGAAGAAATGAAGACAGTACAATGGAGGCCACAGGGGACATGCCATGCCAAGGCTAGGAGGTTAGCTCTCCCCTCTCTCCCTTTATTACCTGCAGTAGCAAAATATACTAAGAGGAGGTAAGAAGAAGCCAGAGTAGCAGAATTATTGTATCTTTCGTGAACAAAGGGTCAGAAAGAAGGATCCTGCCAAGGAGGGAGGCGTCTAACCTGTCCTCTCTTTCTTCCCATTTGTCTTGGGCAGTGGGGGTTTCCTCAGGCCTCCTACACCCCTAACCTGTTCCATCTGCCTTCCAAGAGATGTGGAACAGGTCTAGGGGAGGAGTAGGTTTCAGTCAAGCATTCTGGGGGACCTCATCACTCTGGCATGACTCCAAGAGTTTATCTGGAGATAAGCTTGCTGTGCAGTTCTGTGTGTGAGGAACTAGTCCTTATATTCATCTCTATTATGCTGATATGCTAATGAATAGCTCTCCTGAGGAGTTTTACCAGAGACTTAAATCGGGTTTGGACAGGAAAGATGGAGAGATTCTTTCTGTGTATCACCCACACAAAGGCAGAATAAATACCAACTTCATTAATTTCTGGATCCTGGAGGGATCTAAAAAGAAATAATGCTGAGTCTGGTGGTGTACACATTTAATCCCAGTACTTGGAAGGCAGAGCAGGCGGATCTCAGAGACTGAGGATTGCCTGGTCTATATAGTGAGTTCCAGGCCACCTGGGGCTACAGGGAGACCCTGTCTCAAAAAAACAAAACAAATCAAAAAAGGGAAATACTGCTTTCCAGAGTGAGCAATAACTGAGTTATGTCATTGGAAGAGATTGAATAAACTTAATTTATAAAGAATGTATTAAAAAGAAGCTGGGCCTGGTGGCCCAGATTTATAATCCCAGTGTTTCAGGAGACAGAGGCAGAAGTAAATTCAAGTCCAATTTAATGAGACCCTGTCTAAAAAATAAATAAAGGACTTGAGATGCCCCTCTGATAGAGTGCTTGCCTAGAGTCCTAGGTTCCATCTCCAGTATACCAGAGAGCAGGGAAAGGAGAGATTCTGTTACTAAAGCGGCAAAGGGGAAGCTCATGTAGAATTTGTCTCTTTTTACTCTATAATGATGTGTGAATTGTCTGCTTCTAAATGAATGCTAATAAGTCCTTTCCAGTATTTTTTTTTCTCAAAAGCCATTCCATGGGAATGGGAAAGGGAAGATAAAAATGTCTTAAGACAGCATTTTATGAAAATTGTAAATGTGACACAAACTCAGTATTTGATAAGAATTTTATTTCAACAACCTAATTTTTGATTTCCCTACCTTTACCAAAACTTAATAGTTTTTTTTTTTTAATTTGAAGTCTGCTTTTCTTCTCTGTTTACTACTTGCTTGTTAGCTGCCTTTCTTTAACCAGTTCTTTCACCAAAGGAAAAAGAAGATGTCCCTGTGGAAATGTCTAATGGTGAACCAGGTTGCCACTACTTTGAGCAGCTTCGTTACAATGACATGTGGTTGAAGGTTGGCGACTGTGTCTTCATCAAATCTCATGGCCTGGTGCGCCCTCGTGTGGGCAGGTGAATGTCACTGCAGTGGGGAAGATGAGGTTGGGCTGAGATTTGAGGCCCTTAGGTATTCCTCACTGTTGAGTGAGGTCAACAGTCCCCTCCCCTGGCAATTTCTCCAGCTTCCTCCCACCATACTTTTCTGTAGCAAGTGTTATGGTCCGTGCATGTATGTAATCCTAGTACTTGGAAGGCTAAGGCAGGAAGATCAAGAGTTCCATACCAAACCAGTATGAACTATATAATACCAAGTGCCTGTCTCAAAAAAACACTAAAACCACCCAAACGTAATAAGATACTCTTAGTCCCGGGGCTGGAGAGATGGCTCAGCGATTAAGAATACTGGCTGTTCTTGTAGAAGACCCAGCTTCAAATCCCAGGACCCACATGGCAGCTAACAACTGTCTGTAACACCAGTTCCAGGGGATCCGACAGCCTCTTCTGTCCTCTCCGGGCATTGCACAACACGGGCACAATTACCTGCATGCAGGCAATACACGCATACACATAAAAATAATGAAAATTTTAAAAAGCTCTAATAATTTCTAGAAAAAAGTTTTAAGAGTTGAAGCTGGTTAATTTATTGAATGGGGCTGGGAGAGGGAATAAAGAAAAAAAAATCAACTCTGACCAAATTCAAAACTAAAGGCACTTCATTAACAAAGCAAAACAGTGAGCAGACTCCTGAAGGTTGAATTTCAGCCTGTATTTTGCTGAACTGACATGCTCTTTTACGAAGCATGCATATTTAAAACACTTTCTGAGGCCAGTAAGATGACTCAGTGGGTAAAGATGCCTTCTGTGCAAGCCTGAAACTCATATAAAGGTGGAAAGAGAGAAGGAACTCCACAAAGTTGTCCTCTGACCCCTGCAACAGTGCTACACACACACACACACACACACACACACACACACACACACA